TATATGGGATCCGAACCCGGGGCCTTGGTGTTATCAGCACCGCACTCTCCCGAGTGAGACATGGGCCGGCCCTAAGCCCCCACTTTGAAATAAAAAATGAAACTCTAAGTCTGAACACTCGTTAACGTTCACTTTCTAAGAAGCTGAAAGCTTACAACTTCAAAGTACCCCTACAGTCTCTCTCTATAAGAGACACTTGTTAATAATGAGGAAAGGAAAAATGTAAGAGAGCTAGATTCCAACTGATACTGCCACTGATTAATATCATCTTTGGACATGGGCATAAGAATCTGAAAGAACAGTGAAGTCACGTCATAGAACAGTATCTGGCTGCTTCCAAATTTGCACCCATGAATTCCCTAAATTTTAAGCCATATACATATTTATGAATATTTCTTCCTAAGGAGATATTTTTATCAGATTTTAATCCCCACCTTTCATTGCAGTTTTAAGAGTCTACAGTTCAACAAAGTTTAAAAGTACTTGTTTTTAGGGTATATAATACAAGTTGGTGTGTCTATCCTCTAACTCCTTGGATGTGTGCCTTGGTCCATAACTTAGTTGAAAATATAATGTGACTTTAACAATACTAATTTGAACAAAGCACTCATAAATATCAGTTTCATTATTTCAAGTTATATCTCATTTAATGTTTATTATTGAATAATACAAAGTCAAAGTATAAAAATTAGATAATCTGAAAATATCCTATCATAGTAATTGCTTACTTGCTGTGTATAACAAAAATTGGGTCTCGAGCCATGCATTCAGTATTCATATGTTAAAAATTATTGAAATAAGACCCATATAGTGGAGTATGTTTTAAAAAAAGATAATGCATACAAAACAATTAGCAGACTGTCTGGCATTTTATAGGTGAATTCATTTAGTGGTAATGATAATTACTACTAAATTACAAGAGCTCTTATTTATTCAGTTCTTATTTTGTGCCATCCATCGCGCTGGTTGATTTATACATTATCTCCTTTAACTTTTTCTCTCCACAATCCCATAGAAAGTGAATTATCATCCTATTTTACAGTGGAGGTTTAGAGAGATTTAGTTACTGACTGTATCATATAGCTAATGAGTGATACAGCCAGGATTTGAATCTGGGAGCATTATATTCTATAACCACTACGTTATACCAAATTTTTACACACTATCTGACCCCTAATCATGTTTGTAGCCATGTTTAGTAATTAAAAGGTATACAGGATATCTATGAATGGTATTAAGGAATGCTTTTTAGAGATTGAATAGGCCCCCCCCCAAA